ACAGACACCCAACACAACACACACACACAAACAGCAAAACACTCCTATTAGGTTGCATATCTAACATCATGATAATATTAATATCAACATACCTTGGTGTCATTTTTTTTTATAGTTCTTGTTTTAGAACGCGCGACGTGCTAGACTCGACCTCGCCGTCTTTTTTGTGTCTCCTTTTTGTTATTTGTTATTTGTTTAGTTTTTCCTTTCTTCATAGTGTGCACAACCGGCGGTCTTGTTCATGGGAATGATCAGTCATGAGTTCAGACATGCGGTGTCATAGATCTATGGATTCAACGTTCCTTTGCAACAGAAAAGAGATTATTTATAAACGTGACGCTTCTAATTTAACATGAATCCCCCACTGAATTTGAACCAAATTAAATGAATGTATCTCGAAATACTGGAATTTGATAATAGGCCTACACAGTTGGGGGTTCAAACTGGGATTGCTCGCAGTGTAGTCAGGCGTACTACCTGTTGTTGTAACGGTTCGCTTACAGATGTGTGCGGTAGTAAAATATTGCCATGACATGGAGTTGAATTTTCCTAATGAGGGGAGCATTTCATGGACCATCGATTCTGACGAACTGAGTCAAAAATTTTGACATATTATTTATTTGAATTAGTTTTTATTACAGTATCTTAATCTGCGGTGTCAGTTGTGTATGCTCAAGAAATATTTTTTCAAAATTCAAACTCTAAATGTTGAAAAAAAAGCACGAAAAGAAACATAAAGTAGGTACAGTTCGCTACCTCAGAATTTCAAAGTTCTGTCTAGATCTAGATCTAATATTTTTTTGCCGTTTTGAGTTACTAAGAGCATGAGGTCGGAAACCAAATGTTCTCTCTACTCTATCAATATGGTAAGATTATTCGGAATCGTTGTCAAGATATTCAAAGAACTGCACTAGAAAAAAAAAGCTTGACATGGTGTGAACTGAGAAGGCTTTAATGTCAAATATCTCAAAACTAGGTTCTGAGCAGATAGAACTTAGTAAAACTAAAGTAGCAAATTGTAAAGAGAATGGAAGTTTTTCTCTCTCTTTAAAAATGTTTTCAGGAATATTTGAACATCTTGCTGACGATGTATTGTGATGATTCTAATCTAGAATCTGCACTATTTGTTGCAGAGAAAACAACTTAGCGCACTAGAGGGTGAGAAGAATCTACATCTACATCTACATCATCATCACCTTGTAGGCCGTGTACACAACAGAAACATTTCCCCTCTGCCGTCTCAATACAGCATTTTGCGTGTATCGGGTTGATTAAAATGTCCAAATGATATCCCCTCTCGCACTTCCGGTCTTCCGACTTCCATACATCTGTCAATATTTCTAATCGGTCCATCATCGGTTTTTCTTTCATTGATTTCATTTGATAGGAATGTCGAAGTATCGTGTCAGAGAGCGCGTTAAGGGCCACGAATATTCATTATTGAGAAGGAAAACTTGGTTGGAAATCAAGAGATATCATTCGTTCAAGACAATTGCTCTCACTTCGCAAATTAGAGTAGAGGTTTGGCTGTTGGGTCGTTTTTGTTTTTATTTATTTATTTATTTGTTTATTTATTTATTTAATTATTTATTTATTTATTTAGCTAACATTGGAGTTATTAGGCAATATTTGTATTTGTACCCCCACCCATTATTATTATTTCTTTATGTTTATTCGTTTCTTTTTTTGTTAATGTTAAAAAAATAAAAAACAAACAAACAAACAAACAAACATCAAACCAAACAGAGAAAGAAAGAAAAAAGTGCCAAAGAACACACCGTGTAAGACAAGACAATGACTAGGCAGTGGAGGAAAAGACTTGCATGAATTGACAGTCGAGCAAAGTACAATGTACACATCTACCATGCGTGGGTTTAGTCTTTTCGCGGGAGAATTCTGAGAATCTCTCATTAGAGATTAGAAGATTTCATTCCGCCAACAATGTAGTTGGCATAAGTCTAGATCAAGATTTTTTAGGAAAGATTTAAATTACTACCCTAATTCAATATCTTATATTATTTAATGTTATTATCCAACATTAGAAACAACCACTTTGAGATTAGATTGAAGCTTGCGATAGTTATTGTAATTTTTGTTTTAATGCTCATGATTTCAAATCTTATCGGACTATGTGTCTGACTTAATCCTATATATAGCTATAGTGAGTGTCAATTAAACAGGACCTTGTAGTCAGAGCATGCACTTTTTCAATACCTATTCACGGATCACTGAAATAATTAATGTGCCATGATGTTTCAGTACTTCAACATCTGAAAACCTAAATTTTAATA